AAAAAAAAACAATAAAAACACACTATCTAATCTATTTTAGCGACAGATAAGAAAAACCTTGCTAAAATCAATGAGATGAGGCAAAAATTCTTTTTGAGCCCCTAAACTTATCCTAAAATAACATTTAACCCCTAAACTAAAAACAAAGAGGATAAACCCTCCAACTCTACTAATCATGCAAATAATCCCTTTTCACATATGGGTCAAACTGTATTTCGTGTTTAATATTACTTTGAAAGCATGAATACCCATGAATAAAAAGGGTTTATTTGCATTATTAGTGGAGTTGAAGAGGTTATCTACTTATTTTTAGTTTAGGGACTTAAGTGATATTTTGAGATAAATTTGGGAGCTTAAGAAGCGTTTTTACCAATCAATAAAATAGAGCTTACCATTTCTATGTAACTGTTTCCAGCATCCACCATTAAAGCTACCTTGAAAGAGACAGTTACACTACGGACAGACACAAAGGAGGCAAAAGGTACATTGACCGTGAATCCCATAAATAATAGCTACAAAACCACGGGGTAGGAGTGAGAAAATGGAAAGAAAAATAGTATACTAGAGGGAGGAAGAAGAGGGGGAGGGGAACTGAGAGGAGCAAGACTAGAGACCAAAGTGTGTCACGACACACTACGTCGTGTTCAGACTAAATCCATGTGCCTTCGTGGCTGACTCTGACTCTAAGAGGAGAGAGAAACACAACTGCTGCTTCTCCTTCTGTTTCTACTATTAGATAACCCCTGCCGACCTCCCTAATCATTTATGAGTGAGAGAGGTGTTGTATTGGGAAGGTTTTTGAGATATTCATTCAAGCAGGAGTTGAAACAGAGAGGAGGAAACGAAACCCATTTGTAAAGGTAGCTACTTTGAGGGGGATTGTATTGGAAATGAAGGAGAAGAGTGAGAGTGGTGGGGCAGGTGGGTATGTGAGGGCAGATCAGATAGATCTGAAGAGCTTGGATGAGCAGTTGCAGAGGCATCTTAGCAGGGCATGGACTATGGAGAAGAACAAGAGTAAGAAAGATGAAGGAGATGGAGGAGGAGGTGGAGGAGTGCAGCAACAGCGGCCCAGCAACGCTGTGACTAGACAAGAGTGGGAGATTGATCCTTCTAAACTCATTATCAAAGGTGTCATAGCTCGCGGCACTTTTGGGACTGTGCACCGCGGAATTTATGACGGCCAAGATGTTGCCGGTATTGGTCTCTTTTCCTTATAAAGTTTATTCTTCAATTTGTGATAAGAGTACTGGGTTTTCCTTCTCTCTTGTTCGGTTTATGACTGCCCATTTTCTCAAAATGCCATCTTTCACTGTCCTTTCTTGTGCCTGTTCGCTATTTTGGCTGTTATTTGGACAAACTTGAATTTCCTTGTTTGGAAGATTGTTGAATAGGAATGGATTTGTCATATAATCAACAGCCAGAACTTTAGTTCATCTTGGTTTGTAGAATGGAAAGAAGGCAAAAGGAAGTTAAATTTTAAAGTAGATGCAGGAAATAAGACTTATATCCGCTGATTTTGTTAGTGCTTTGAAGAAGGAAAAACATAAAGCAAGGAAATTCCTTCTGCAATTGCTAACTTTAACATATCTAGAAATGATACTCATTAGTGGTTTCTTCTGTGATATGCTATGGAGTGGTTTTGAAATTCTTTTTTTTTTTTTTAAATAAATAAATAAATTTTGGCATAGCGAGCTAGGTGATCTACCGTTCTACCGTTTCTCCCTTTTTTGCCTTGATATTTTTGTTCTCAACTGTTCTGTTTGTTTGGTTGCCAAGAAAGTGCACGTAAAGGGAAAACAAAAAGGGGGGGGGGGGGAGTTTTGGAATCTTAGAATTTTCAATAAGTTGGCCTTAAGCGAACAACACTGAAGTATGTGCACCATAAAGCATCTTATTCTGTTAGTTTCTTTCCAATTCTGGAGACACCTCAGCTACCAAAGGTAAAATGTTATGCTAATTTTAGCAAACACTTTCCTGTAAGATCATGGAGCAGTGTATATCTGGAACTTGTGGATCTAAACTTCCAAAATCCGTGATTCACGAGATTGTTTGAGCTGGTAGTTGGATGCAGTAACTTAAATGATGTGTGTTTTTTCTTTTTCTTTCTCTTTCTCTGAACTTTCATGTGTCTTATTTGATCTCTCATCTTCTATCTGACTTTATTGAGATAAAGTGCTATAAAGTTGAAAGCACCTCATGTTGACTTTCAAACTCGCATGTTTTTCATTGCTATAAAACATACAAATGGAACCTCATCTCTGCTACTCAGGGAAGCATCAACCAAGTATTTTCAATGAAGTGAAGAGAATTTAACTACCACATTAATCTCTAGGCAGAAACTATGACTTGACTCAGGACCATGGTGTGAAACTTTGTTATATGACGGGCAGATTATATTTTGTTTGGTTCATTATCGTTTTTTACCTACCATGTTGTGCAGTTGCTTTAGTGCTCATTTATGAGGTGTATTCTCCACCTTCCCCCTATTTTAAGTTAAATATACCAGAAGAGAACCTTGGACCTTTCTTTTTATCTTTTACAACTATTAACTTTAGTTACCTCTTCCATCATGCTTTAGTCAAACTTCTTGACTGGGGAGAGGAAGGCCACAGATCTGAAGCTGAAATAGCTTCACTAAGAGCAGCTTTTACACAGGAAGTTGGTGTTTGGCACAAGCTTGATCATCCTAATGTAACAAAGGTAAAGCTTCCTATCATTGCTCATTACCTATTCTTGTGATTGATAATCTCCTTCCTCATTCCTTCCCTGTAACAGAATTAAAAGGGCATAGAAACATTAAACACTTCAGATGGTTTTTTAGCAGAACAATTCTTTTCTTTCTTTTTCCTCAAGCAAAAAGTAACAAAAAAAGACCATTGGTGGAAGTTCCAAATATCCCGCTGTTGGGTCCTTTTGTAGAATGCATGTTATCTCTCATCTCCACTATGCTAACAGTCACAGACATACTTCAACTCACCAATGGTTATATGTCATTTTCTCACCTTTGGGGAACCTTGCTTAGCAGGACTATGCTGACTCATGGCCTTTTCCCAGCAGCCTTCCACTCTCACACTCCCTCTGATGATAATAGAAATGACGTGTCTCAATTGGTGTGGCCTTCAATTATTTATTTACTTCAACTACATGTTTTTCTATCTCATTTTTTTTATTATATTTATCCTTCAGATCTATTAGTTATTAAGGATATCGATATCAGTACCATAGTCAAACAGATATTGGATTCTGTTCATTTTCTGATGCTTTATATCTGCAATTACTAAAGTGGGGGTGTTCTTGTTTCATCAGTTAAACAACTGGTTGTGATTTTATCTTTAATAGATGTGCCATATTTCTTCTGCAGTTTATAGGGGCGACAATGGGCACATCAGAGCTAAATATACAGACAGAAAATTCTCATGTTAGCATGCCAAGTAATTTTTGTTGCGTTGTTGTTGAATATTGTCCTGGGGGTGCATTGAAATCTTACCTCATAAAGAACCGGAGAAGGAAGTTGGCATTTAGAGTGGTTATTCAACTGGCACTAGATCTTGCACGAGGGTTAAAATCTAATACCCTTTCTTATATATCTTATTTTTCCAATTTATAGTTTAATAGCTGCTTTTTATAAATGTGCTGAGGCTTTTACACTTCAATGGTATTTTTAAAATTCTTCTCAAAAGTCTATGTTTAGATTACCATTTTCTATATTTTGTAGGTTGAGCTATCTCCATTCTAAGAAGATTGTTCACCGAGATGTTAAAACAGAAAACATGCTTCTCGACAAGACACGTACGGTAAAGATAGCTGATTTTGGGGTTGCTCGCCTTGAAGCTTCAAATCCTAATGACATGACTGGAGAAACTGGAACACTCGGTTACATGGCACCGGAGGTATACAGTTTCTCTGCTTTAATTTGAGTGTTCCATGGAATCTCTTTCTTTCTCTCATGCACAACTTTGAATGATTGTGTTTAGGTCTATCATTTCTGTATCACGGTATCAATTTAAATGTATCCTGGGCTTCTGCTTGCGTGAATTTATTTGCTTCTAGCTCTGGTAGAGAATAAGGGTCTTGGGGCAATAGTCATTGACTGGAAGGAAACCTTTAAGCATAGGGCAATGCTTACGTTTTATTGGTCCTAATCTTCTTTTATTCAGATTGTACATGCTTACTCAACCCATAATGACTATCGCTTACCATTGATGACTTCCAATGCGACAGGTTCTCAATGGAAACCCATACAATAGAAAGTGTGATGTGTATAGTTTTGGTATATGCTTGTGGGAGATATACTGCTGTGACATGCCTTACCCCGACCTCAGCTTTTCAGAAATGACATCTGCTGTTGTCCGCCAGGTCAGTAAAGTTATTTCCATTTCCAGATGTATTCTTCATCACAATATAACTTTCTGCTAAATTTATGTACTGTGAGACAGTGATTAAGTATATGTGTTGTAACTCATGGGAATATAACAATAGCACTGAACATGATTATAATTATTATACATTTCCTTCAAGAAAAAGATGACTAAAAATGTTGAATGTGAAACCACAGAATCTGAGGCCAGAGATACCTCGGTGCTGCCCAAGCTCTCTTGCAAACGTTATGAAGCGATGTTGGGATGCTAACCCTGAGAAGCGGCCGGAGATGGATGAGGTGGTGTCCATGTTGGAGGCTATTGACACTTCCAAGGGTGGAGGTATGATCCCAGGGGATCAGCCTCCTGGGATCATA